GGGAAAAACAACAAATAACACACAAGGGAATCCCCATAAGGTTAACAGCTGATCTCTCAGCAGAAACCCTACAAGCCAGAAGGGAGTGGCAGGACATACTGAAATTGATGAAGGAGAAAAACCTGCAACCAAGACTACTCTACCCAGCAAGGATCTCATTCAGATTTGATGGAGAAATTAAAACCTTTACAGACAAGCAAAAGCTGAGAGAGTTCAGCACCACCAAACAAACCAGCTTTACAACAAATGTTAAAGGAACGTCTCTAGACAAGAAACATAAGAGAAGGAAAAGACCTATAATAACGAACACAAAACAATTTAGAAAATGGGAATAGGAACATACATATCGATAATTACCTTAAATGTAAATGCTCCCACCAAAAGACACAGATTGGCTGAATGGATACAAAAACAAGACCCTTATATATGCTGTCTACAAGAGACCCACTTCAGACCTAGAGACACATACAGACTGAAAGTAAGGGGATGGAAAAAGATATTCCATGCAAATGGAAACCAAAAGAAAGCTGGAGTAGCAATTCTCATACCAGACAAAATAGACTATAAAATAAAGACTATTAGAAGAGACAAAGAAGGACACTACATAATGATCAAGGGATCGATCCAAGAAGAAGATATAACAATTGTAATTATTTATGCACCCAACATAGGAGCACCTCAATACATAAGGCAAATACTAACAGCCATAAAAGGTGAAATCAACAGTAACACATTCATAGTAGAGGACTTTAACACCCCACTTTCACCAATGGACAGATCATCCAAAATGAAAATAAATAAGGAAACACAAGCTTTAAATGATACATTAAACAAGATGGACTTAATTGATATTTATAGGACACTCCATCCAAAAAAAACAGAATACACATTTTTCTCAAGTGCTCATGGAACCTTTTCCAGGATAGATCATATCTTGGGTCACAAATCAAGCCTTGGTAAATTTAAGAAAATTGAAATTGTATCAAGCATGTTTTCCGACCACAATGCCGTGAGACTAGATATCAATTACAGGAAAAGATCTGTAAAAAATACAAACACATGGAGGATAAACAATAAACAACTTAATAATGAAGTGATCACTCAAGAAATCAAAGAGGAAATAAAAAAATACCTAGAAACAAATGACAATGGAGAAACAACGACCCAAAACCTATGGGATGCAGCAAAAGCAGTTCTAAGGGGGAAGTTTATAGCAATACAAGCCCACCTTAAGAAGCAGTAAACATCTCGAATAAACAACCTAACCTTGCACCTCAAGCAATTAGAGAAAGAAGAACAAAAAAAAACCCACAAAGTTAGCAGAAGGAAAGAACTCATAAAAATCAGATCAGTAATAAATGAAAAAGAAATGAAGGAAACAATAACAAAGATCAATAAAACTAAAAGCTGGTTCTTTGAGAAGATAAACAAAATTGATAAACCATTAGCCAGACTCATCAAGAAAAATATGGAGAAGACTCAAATCAATAGAATTAGAAATGAAAAAGAAGTAACAACTGACACTGCAGAAATACAAAACATCATGAGAGATTACTACAAGCAACTCTATGCCAATAAAATGGACAACCTGGAAGAAATGGACAAATTCTTAGAAATGCACAATGTGCCAAGACTGAATCAGGAAGAAATAGAAAATATGAATAGACCAATCCCAAGCACTGAAATTGAAACTGTGATTAAAAATCTTCCAACAAACAAAAGCCCAGGACCAGAAGGCTTCACAGGCGAATTCTATCAAACATGTAGAGAAGAGCTAACACCTATCCTTCTCAAACTCTTCCAAAATATAGCAGAGGGTGGAACACTCCCAAATTCCTTCTACGAGGCCACCATCACCTTGATACCAAAACCAGACAAGGATGTCACAAAGAAAGAAAACTACAGGCAAATATCACTGATGAACATAGATGCAAAAATCCTCAACAAAATACTAGCAAACAGAATCCAACAGCACATTAAAAGGATCATACAGCATGATCAAGTGGGGTTTATTCCAGGACTGCAAGGATGCTTCAATATACGCAAATCTATCAATGTGATAAACCATATTAACAAATTGAAGGAAAAAAAAAACATATGATCATCTCAATAGATGCAGAGAAAGCTTTTGACAAAATTCAACACCCATTTATGATAAAAACTCTGCAGAAAGTAGGCATAGAGGGAACTTTCCTCAACATAATAAAGGCCATATGTGACAAGCCCACAGCCAACATCATCCTCATTGGTGAAAAACTGAAAGCATTTCCACTAAGATCAGGAACAAGACAAGGTTGCCCACTCTCACCACTCTTATTCAACATAGTTTTGGAAGTTTTAGCCACAGCAATAAGAGAAGAAAAGGAAATAAAAGGAATCCAAATCAGAAAAGAAGATGTAAAGCTGTCACTGTTTGCAGATGACCTGATACCAAAGTGCAGATGTCCTAGAGATGCTACCAGAAAACTACTAGATCTAATCAATGAGTTTGGTAAAGTAGCAGGATACAAAATTAATGCACAGAAATCTCTGGCATTCCTATAAACTAATGATGAAAAATCTGAAAGTGAAAACAAGAAAACACTTCCATTTACCATTGCAACAAAAAGAATAAAATATTTAGGAATAAACCTACCTAAGGAGACAAAAGACCTGTATGCAGAAAAATTATAAGCACTGATGAAAGAAATTAAAGATGATACAATTAGATGGAGAGATATACCATGTTCTTGGATTGGAAGAATCAACATTGTGAAAATGACTCTACTACCCAAAGCAATCTATAGATTCAATGCAATCCCTATCAAACTACCACTAGCATTTTTCACAGAACTAGAACAAAAAATTTTGCAATTTGTATGGAAACACAAAAGACCCCGAATAGCCAAAGCAATCTTGAGAACGAAAAAAGGAGCTGGAGGAATCAGGCTCCCTGACTTCAGACTATACTACAAAGCTACAGTAATCAAGACAGTATGGTACTGGCACAAAAACAGAAATATAGATCAATGGAACAGGATAGAAAGCCCAGAGATAAACCCACGCACATATGGACACCTTATCTTTGATAAAGGTGGCAGGAATGTACAGTGGAGAAAGTACAGCCTCTTCAATAAGTGGTGCTGGGAAAACAGGACAGGTACATGTAAAAGTATGAGATTAGATCACTCCCTAACACCATACACAAAAATAAGCTCAAAGTGGATTAAAGACCTAAATGTAAAGCCAGAAACTATCAAACTCTTAGAGGAAAACATAGGCAGAACACTCTATGACATAAATCACAGCAAGATCCTTTCTGACCCACCTCCTAGAGAAATGGAAATAAAAAGAAAAATAAACAAATGGGAGCTGATGCAACTTAAAAGCTTTTGCACAGCAAAGGAAATCATAAACAAGACCAAAAGACAACCCTCAGAATGGGGGAAAATATTTACAAATGAAGCAACTGACAATGGATTAATCTCCAAAATTTACAAGCAGCTCATGCAGCTCAATAACAAAAAAACAAACAACCCAATCCAAAAATGGGCAGAAGACCTAACTAGACATTTCTCCAAAGAAGACATACAGACTGCCAACAAACACATGAAAGAATGCTCAACATCATTAATCATTAGAGAAATGCAAATCAAAACTACAATGAAATATCATCTCACACCAGTCAGAATGGCCATCATCAAAAACTCTAGAAACAATAAATGCTGGAGCGGGTGTGGAGAAAAGGGAACACTCTTGCACTGCTAGTGGGAATGTGAATTGGTTCAGCCACTATTGAGAACAGTATGGAGATTCCTTAAAAAACTACAAATAGAACTACCATATGACCCAGCAATCCCACTACTGGGCATATACCCTGAGAAAACCAAAATTCAAAAAGAATCATGTACCAAAATGTTCATTGCAGCTCTATTTACTAGCCCGGAGATGGAAACAACCTAAGTGCCCATCATCGGATGAATGGATAAAGAAGACGTGGCACATATATACAATGGAATATTACTCAGCCATAAAAAGAAACGAAATGGAGCTATTTGTAATGAGGTGGATAGACCTAGAGTCTGTCATACAGAGTGAAGTAAGTCAGAAAGAGAAAGACAAATACCGTATGCTAACACATATATATGGAAGTTAAGAAAGGAAAAAAATGTCATGAAGAAACTAGGGGTAAAACAGGAATAAAGACACAGATCTACTGGAGAACGGACTTGAGGATATGGGGAGGGGGAAGGGTGAGCTGTGACAGGGCGCGAGAGAGTCATGGACATATATACACTAATAAACGTAGGGTAGATAGCTAGTAGGAAGCAGCTGCATGGCACAGGGATATCGGCTCGGTGCTTTGTGACCACCTGGAGGGGTGGGATAGGGAGGGTTGGAGGGAGGGAGACACAAGAGGGAAGAGATATGGGAACATATGTATATGTATAACTGATTCACTTTGTTATAAAGCAGAAACTAACACACCATTGTAAAGCAATTATACCCCAATAAAGATGTTTAAAAACTATACATATATATATATATATATTATATAATTGTAGTATGGAACATGTGGATAGTAAATGTTGTAAAATTTACCAATAATTTGACTAAAATAATCCAAACTCATGATTAATTTATAAGAAATAATTTGAATTTAATTTAATAGACCCACTAAGGACACGTATTGTGGCACTGATTTTGCATGGAATGACCCGAAACAATGCTGAAATGGCAAAAGCGTGTTTTGAAGAAATAAGGGTATTCGTAAGATGAGCCACATCTGGACATTGCATTTCCAAGTTAAAATTTGTTTATTCCTTTTTTGACTGGACATCTGCACTTTGGTATTTGCAAATTTTAAATGAACGTGACACTATCTTTTCAGGAAATGGCTCTTCACCTTAATACCATTATTTTAATTAATTGATGTAAAGTGAAAACAATGTCTGGATATATCCCAAATACATCGTGAATTCCAAGTAATTTTGTAAATAAACAATGAATATATTACTCACCGATAGCCATTGTCAAGGTCAATACAGGTGGAATTGTTCTTACAGGGATTCTTTTTGCAGTCATTGAATTCTTGTTCACAAAAATATCCTTCCCAACCAGAAAGGCACATGCATTGGTGGTTCTAAGGGAATATGAAAATTATACAACCTTTAGGTCATTTCTTATTACTCTTGGTTATTTTGATCTCTGTCAATTTATGATTTTTTTCAAGTTTTATAGAATGTCAATACTTTTCAAAAATTACTTTACCGCAGTTTAAAAACTATATGAATGGTATTCTTTAGTATCTAATTCAATAAAAGTTAATATTTATGTGTCAAGCTCACAATACAGAGCTATTGGTCTTGTTAAATGTTAATATAAAAGTAGTGTATTAGTAATATGAAGACTAGTGATTGTGTAAAACTAAATAACTAAATGTGGTACTTGACAACTAGCTCATGAGTTAAAAAAATAAGTACAACAAAATAAACCTTCTGACAGCTTTGTGATATTACTTACAAATAATTAACTTATGTAAGTGTAGTATTGTTCATTTACTGAAATTGTAAAACTTTGCATATTATTTTTCTGAAAAATCGAATTGGTCTATAACAATATTCAAAATACTGGAAGCAAAATTGCTTTTCCTGATTGGGCAAATAGAAAAACAATCCAAAAGACACCTCAAATTATGGTGGGACAGTGATTTATACATTAAAAATAATTTCGAAGACTAGAGCCCTTTTCAAAAAGTTAGAATTTGGGCTCTAAGGTTTAGCAATTCTAGATTTAGAAATACGAAAAATTGTAGCATCAATGTTAGGAGTTATCTTGATCTTCTCTATTCAGTACCAGTAGCCACTGACCACCTGTGGTTAAAGAGCATTGAAATGTGCCTGGTCCCAAATGAGGCTGTAAGTATAAAATACACACTGGATTTGGAAAAGTTAATATTAAAAAAGAATATAAAGTATCTCACTAATAATTTTATTACATGTTGTAATGGTAATAATTTGGATATAAAGAGTTAAACACACGATTGTATTATTAAAATTAATTTCATCTGTTTCTTTGAACTTTTTTTTAATGTGGCTGCTAGAAAATTTACTGAACGCACATAGATTTTGTTACATTTCTAATGGACAGAGCTGTGTCAGGTGATGCCAGCCCAACTTTTCACTTGGGAATGGAGTTGAGTCTGTGTAGTTCTGTGGACACACAAGAGCAGGGGCTCTCTGAGATGGGAAAACATGTTCTGGTGTAATACATTCCAGTACCTTGAGAAGGCCTGGCACCAGTGGACGCTTAATACCTGTTGATTGAACAATGGAAACAATGATAGGAAAAATAATGTAAAATATGAAGTTAGTACACAAAACAGACTTCACAAAGATTCTATACCTTTACTATAGGTAGACAGAAAGTTCGTAAAGTTCAAACATTCCAGTCAACTAAATTTTTTCACCAGAGAAACACATACATTCATGCTCAATGTAGATGCATTTAGGTTACAATAATCCAAATGTATGAGTAGCTCCACTGAGGTCCCAGCTTTAGTTTTCAGCTGCTTGTGAAAAGCAGAGGGATGAGAGTGGCCATACCGAGACCAGATTTTACTCCTGAACATGTGTTCATTCTCCACTCAGCGTTCTCACTCTCAGTACTTATGGTCTGCTGGATTTCAGCAGCAATTTTTTCCTGTGTTCTGCCTCTATCATTGTGAACTTCCTCAGAGTTTGGCAGTATTCGAACGTTTTCATTGACTGCATTTAGCATATTTCTTTTTCCTTCTCTTTTGTGTAAGTGTTACAAAGAGGATTTGCATGCAAATTGAAGGTAATGATCATATTTTGTTTAATGCATATGCTCTTTGAAATGGAAGCAATTCTATAACAGGCAAGACTAAGCATCTGCTGTAGTGAATGGGGGACCATGACCCAACCTAGTGATAGACAGGAGGGCAGATCAGGATGCAGGATGGATGTCCGTAACCCGTGGACCATGGGAGGTGCCCTTTAGTTATTTCTGGCAATTCACCTTCAAAGGGGTGTTAATTGTTTCTGTTAAGACAAATGCATGAGTATACTGCTGGTTTTTATTTTGACGTGTCAGTAGTAATTTGAAACAAATTCAGTGAGTGAGCAAAAAAGCCAAACAAATTTCTTTGCCATTAAAGCCATATATTTCTTATTGGTATTCTTGATGATTTAATAATGAGTAGAAAATTGCCATGCATTTAATGATCTAATTATCACTAAAGTGTCAGGTACCAAAGCAGTGATCTCCAGATATGATGGAATCTGTATGAAACAGAAACAAAGTGATCAAGGAAATAGACATTTTTCTAATATTAAACATGAAAAAATATAAATGTTGCAGAGAGCAGAATATTAAGTAGAATTAACCCATAGTTCAAGTATTTCTATTCATCTGTTTCTTACTTGATTCAGAAGCATTATTCTGAACTTAGATATTCTTAGTGCAAAGCACTTTCCTGATCAACACTATAAAGTTAATTAATTCCAGTAACTTAAAATAATAAAGCTGACACACTACTTTTAAGCCATATTACCTTGGCATTCCATAATAATATAATAATATTTTGAGTTACTTTTCCTGAGGAGGAAAATGTATTTAAATATGTTTACTAAAACGAGTAAAAGTTTGTATAACTTGTGAGGTTGGTGTCACATTGTTTTTACCTCTTAATGCAAAGTAGACATTTGTCTTCCTGCCAAATTCAGATAAAAAAGTTTTCATAGTTTGAATATACATAGTGAGTAGGAGACAGGAAAGACAGAAGATGATAAAAGATGACACAGATCCAACTCAGTGAACTACACAGCCAGTGAGACAGAAGACAAAGTGGTCAAGTTTGGTAGGTATAATAACTACATATATAACACACTCTATATAATATTCTGTATGTAACTATGTAGTAGTAGTTTAGTTTTTCAGGCCATGAGCTAGATATTTTAAATCCTTGTGATCAGTGACAAATATACAAATGTAAGAAAGTTAGCATAATTCTGAATATAAATTTTGAAGTCTGAGAGATGACATTTGAACACCAGCTTTGTGGCTTATTAAATATCCAGACATGTATGGGGTATTGAATTTCTCTTGCTGTGTAGAAAATTACCACAAATTTAGCAGATTTAAACATAAATTTGCTGTCTCACATTTTCTGTGGTTCATATGTCCAGACACAGGTGAGTCAAGTCCTTTGCTTAAAGTCTCACCGGGCTAAAACAAGGTATTGACTGGGGTTATGATCTCATCTGAGGCTTGGGCTCCTTTTCCAAACAGTGGCTGTCAGTAAAATTTATTGCATTGTGGCCCTAGGACTTGGGTCTGGTCACTTGCTAGTTGCCAGGCATGGAAGGCTCTCAGATCCAGATGGTGTCACATCCTTGGCACATGGCCTTGTCTTCTCAAAGCACAGTGGGGTGCTTGTTCCTTCAAGGCCAACAGGGGAGCACCTGCTTCTGTGTCTTGTCTCCTTTAAGGACCCATCTAATTAGGTCAGGCACACCCGAGATAATCTTACATTTGATAAATCAAAGTCAGCTGATTAGGGACCTTAGTTACACCTGTAAAATCTCTTTTTCCATATAAAGTAACATAAATGGTAGTACTATCCCACTATTTTCACAGGTCTTACTTATGCTCAAGGAGAGTAGGTTTTACAGGACATGTGCACTAGGAGGTGGAGATCTTGGGGCCATTTTATAATTCTGTCTAACACATCTGCTAACCTACTTAATTTATCTAAGTAAACTATTTAAGTTATCTAAGCCTCAGGTGCATTTATACATAAAGTACCAATAATGTCTACTTCATATGCTTATTTTGAGCATTGCATGCAGTAATGATTTGGCTTGGCCTAGTAATGACATGCTTGGCCTAGTGACCAATAATCACCACTAATCAATAGCAACCATTCCTTCCAGGCTTGCCAGACTAGATCTGACAAGGTCAAAGTACAACACACAACAAGTACTGCACTTGAACAGAATTATCCATCTCTACATTATTTCTTTGTATAGTAAGACCCCTACATACAAATGAGTTCTGTTCTGAGAGTGTGTTCATTAAGTCCAACAAAGTTAGCCTAGGTACCCAACTAACACAGTTGGCTACATAGTACTGTACTGTAATAAGTTTATAATACTTTTTATACAAATAATACATAAAAAACAAACACAAAAATAAAGAAAACATTTTTAGTCTTACAGTATGGTACCTTGAAAAGTACAGTAGTACATCACAACAGCTGGCACTTCTTAGCAGTACCAGCTACATCACTGCTGCTTTTACACTTGCTTCTGTACATCCTGGGCTTGAAATAAAGATAGTGTACTACTGTATCCTACACAGTAAAGTATACAGTAAAGTACACAAAAGCACAACCAATTGTAGAGGATCCACACACGTGACAAAGTATGCCAGACACATGAACTAACTAGACATGCAAATGCACATCCACATCTTTGAAAGTTTGAAACTTGAAGGTTCATATGTAAGGAAATTACTGTATGAACAATTTTCATTATTTCGTTATTTTTATGTTATTATTTAAAAGTATTTACTTTTCATTATTTCTTTTATGAACAATTTTTCATTACTATTATTTATTATTATTATTTTACATTACTTCTTTGTATGAACGTACTGAAGGATAAAGATTATCAGACTAGAAAAACAAAGATGAAAGAGGAGGAGAAAGAGAATCCAGCAATGTATCGATTACAAACACAAACTTAGACAATATGGACAAATTTCAGATAATAAATTAGGAAAATTGATCAAGAAATAGTGGAAAATCTTACTAAATAAGTAAACATTTTTAAATGCACCAAAAAGGGAGGTTGATAGTATGCTTACACAGACAAATAAAATTGCTTCCAAATCTTTAATTCTTCTCTTATGTCACATAGGTGCAGAAAACAGAAAAGCAGGGGAACTACCCAACTTAAATTTTGAGACTAGTAAAGTCTAGATACCAAAATCTGGCAAGCATATAACAAGAAATGCAAACTCAGTCAATCTTATGTGATCAAAAAAAGTAAAATTGAAGAAAATAATTTTAAGTAATTGAATCTAAGAGTGTCTTCAAGATTTGTTCTATTATGAGCA